CAGGCGGAGGGGGGTGCGGGGGTCGGTCCGCGTGACAGCTCAGCAGGTGAGGCTCGGCGGGCTCGGCCCCGAGAGAGGAGCGCAGCGGCGCAGCCAGGAAGGCGGCGCGTGGGGATCAAAAGAAGTCGAGGAACAGTGGGGCGGAGGAGAGAAGAGACCGCTGGCGCAGCAGATGGGCGGGGGCTGCCTGGCCGACTGACTGAATGACCGACTGCTGGAGGCACCGTTGCCAAAGACGTCCGGTGGCCAAAAGTTTTCGAGTTCCCTCCGTCCGTAGAGAGCTGTATCATACTACCTCATCTTCTCTCTACTCTACTCGTGTGGTGCAGAATTGTGGTGATGCGTATCCTCTTCGCCCTCGTCTTCGCCGAGGCCCCCACCCCATCCCCGGGCCCGGCCCACAGCAGTACTCTCCCTTTTCATCTCCCGCAGCTGGCTCCCCTTCGGCTCGGCAGGACACGGGCCGGGCATTCCTTTGACGGACCGTTACGGCCCTTACCCCCCCCCCTCGACATACTGTGCTGGGGAGACGGGCCCTGGTCCTGGCTGCGGTGCGCTGCGGTACCCCTGGCAGAGCGGGCAGGCAGCGGGCCGGGCGAGGCGAGTCTGTTATTTGCAGTCAGCACGCCCCTCTTCCTGTACCCTGCCGACTGCTCCCATCCCCTCCCCCGCCTCGCCTTGTCTCTTCTATCCCTCCCGACAGTCATGCGCCGGGCCCCGTGTTCCTCGGCCCCCCGCCCTGGTGGCGCGGCGGTGGTGGTGTCGGACCCGAGGTGTACACCCCACCCGAGCCCGAGCAGCAGCGTCCACCTGTGTTGTGCAGCGCCATTGCCGGGCTGTCACGGCATTCCCCGGTCGTGACCGCAGGAATACAGAGATCGCTCGGCGGTGCCACTGGGTAGCCTGCTACTGGTGCACAGACGCAGGGTTCTCCCTGCTGCAGCTCAAGCCGTCCATGTGCCAGGCTCTGGCTAGACTGGCCTCACCACGGCACAGGTCAGGCCCCGTCCGCGACATTCTCGTGCATGAGTGTTTCAGGTGGCTCGTTTCGCATGCAAATCATTCATGAAACGAAAACACGCACAATTTCCTCCCCTTGTCCATTACGTTGCGGTCCGCGCCACCCTTGATGAGGACCGGCGCAAATGCGACGTGTAGTCATCCTGTAATTCTACCTCTTTACTCTCTGCTCCTACCCTCTTCAATTTACCAATTTGCCTCTTGCAGAATGCGGTAGAGGAGGGTGGGTGGCGGCCGCCCCCGGGCGGGAGACACGGCCCAGCCCGGCCCAGCAGGTGCCCCCTCCTCATTTCGGCGGTCTTTATTCGATTTGCATGCAGGGAGCCGCGTGCGGGGCCGAACAGGTCGGGCCGGGCAGGCCAGCGATTCGCGTAGAAGCGCAGCCCCGCCTCGCCCAGCC